TTGGGGTACAAAAAAAACTACTAATAATTACATTTTTCAGACAAATCCAAAACTCGAAGTAAATATATGGGTCAGAAGATTTCGTCTGAAGTTATTTTTATTTGCTTTTGGTATCTATAGAATAACGAAAATCATGCATTAAAATAGAACACATACGAAACAAATTATTCGAAATCACTAATATTTGTATTTCATTAGACGACTTTGTTGCGTTTCGCGATGCGTCTCGTCGCTTCCTCTGGTACATTCTTGACAAAATATTATACACACACGCAACAATGTGTGACAAGACTGTACCTGAAGAAGCAACGAAACGCATCGCGAAAATTTATATACACTATGTGATCAAAAGTATGGGCTCTTTCAAAATGGTGTTATGTGGTCGTGTTTTTCATGGAGGGGGCACGGCAGAGGCTTACGTTGACATTTTAAACACCTTCCTGCTTCCCAGTGTTGAGCCATTCGGGGAAGGCTATTGCATCTTTCAACACGTTCATACTGCACGGCCTGTGAAGAAGTGGTTATACAACAATAACATTCCTCTAATGGATTGGCCTGCACGGAGTCCTGACTTGAAATCTATCGAACACTTTTGGGATGTTTTGGAACGCCGACTTCGTGCCAGGTCTCACCGACCTTCATCGATACAACTCCTCAGTGCAGAACTCCGTAAAGAATGAGCTGCCATTCGCCAAGCTATCTTCAAGCACCTGATTCAAAGTATGTCTATTAGAGTGAAGCTGTCATTAAGGCTAAGTGTGGGATCAATACCCTATTGAATTTAAGCATTACCGATGGAGGGCGCTACGAACTGCTAAGTAATTTTCAGCCCCGTGTACGGATTCTTCCGATCACATTATGTATGTAAGATCACGATTCTGCAGTTTTCACGTTGACATATACACTTCAACAATAAAATGAGACTGCCATTTACAACCTCTAGCAATCGCCTTTTCACCCACTGCACGACATTGGAGCTGCGGAGCAGGGCAGTACGTGGTGAAACCCATAGTTAATTCGGGTTCCCGCCGCAGCTTATTTACGGGAAGGCGTAACAATCACCCTCTACCCCAACTTCCCTCTTCCCCACCCCTTCCTGTCCCTTTGGCGTCGCCACCGCAGTCCGCCGAGCCCC